ACTGTGGGCTTTTGTTAATAAAGAGCATCCGGTTTTAGATACAGGAAGATCTGACAGCATCAATAATCTCAGAGCCACTTGTCATGTGGATCTCTCTACTCCAACTTTCCCAGATCAACCCACAACAAACAGGTTGTACTGCAGGCTCAGAAACCACGTGACACTAGGTTTTCTAAAGTTCAGATGTCATCGTAAACTATAAAGGACACAACTATGTTTGAATTTTTTCATTTGCAACAGGATGACTCACTAACCGTCTTTCTCATTATTTTGCAAAAAAGCGGTCGAAAGCCTATTTATGTAACTAAGCACAATGTTACCAGTGGAATGATGGAATAAGTTACAAAGCTTCTTGGTTCACACGCGTCAAATTGTTAAAAACCCAGTTGTCCAAAACAGTTCACCAGTAAAAAAGGAACCAACAGGAGGAAGCTTACTTTTAGTGAGAGACTAATGTTTTGTTTGGCACAAGATGAGATGAGAGGAGCCAAAGATTGTTCTGCAGCTTTACTGTAAGATGTGAAAAATGACTCCAGTAAAAGAAACATTTGTAAAAAAGGCTTCTGAAAAACTGAGAAAGTGTTTGAATACAACAGCTGATTTAGTTTGATCCACTTGTTTAATCAGATGAATTAAACTTTTAAGTATAATACAGCATACTATAATTATGTGGTTTAAAGGGCAACATTGAAAATAAAATAAATTTGATAACTACAATTGAAAAAAGCAAATGAGGATAGAGGTAGCTCTTTTCCAAATGTGCTCTTATTAACAATAAAGCTATAGAAACTTTCCAGGTACGTAATGCACATTTGTTAGAGCAGTCCAACATACATACTGATAGTATAAAACTAAACGTGATTTTATTAAATTATATTTTCAGGTAAGAATTGGCCTGTAAGCCTACTAATTTACTAATGAGACATAATGAGACATAACTGTTCTGTAATGAAAATAGATTGTTTTTACCAGTTTTATCCATGTTTTATGTTTTCCCCCACCCTTGCATCATTCCTGTCCCACTGCCTCTCTGATCCTGTTGAGCAGGAAGCGACACCGTAGCTGTGACCACAGATGTCATGTATTAACTAGATCCCTCGCCTGCGCTGTTCGTCAAGGGACCCTGACGTCCGTACGTGGCGGCCATCTTACTTCGGACAGCTGCCCCCCTCTAACTGGTGTTTAGTGGTGCATGCACTATTTAAACAACTCTTAACTTTCTCAATTTTCAACCGGTTTTCATACGGTTTGATTTTTTAGAAACATTAGAGACGCGGCTATGAAATATATCAGTTTTGGCAGGAAACTCCCCTTATTTCACTCCACTTTCCAGCCGTTTTCCCCTATCCTGTCAATTTCCCATAGACTTACCGTTTTAATGTCAACAAGATCTGCTTCTGAAAGCTGTAGTTTGTAAACTGAGGTCAACTTATATTTATTAGTTTTAAGATACCTTAACTTACCATCAACTTATAAATAAAAAGTCAAATACCTGATTTGATTTACAGAAAATAGTAAAACAAACAAAAAAAGATATATATACACAGAAGCATGAAACAAACTTTAAAGTAAAAACACCCAGTCCAAAAAACAAAACAACTCTAGAACCTCAACGACTGAGAAAATATTTTATGAAAAGACAAATGAAGATATACAGAACATATTTTATTTACTTTGACTTTAATATTTGCAAGTAATATGAACCTAATATGTACTTGCTTTGGCAAGTTATTATTTCCACCTTCAGCCTGCAACCCATTTTAAAGGAAAGTTTGAAAAGAGAAAACTGGGATAATTGTGAGTTAAAGGGCTAAATAAACACTTCAAAATCTTAAGAGTAAATGAATGACAGACTGACAGTTATGAAAAACTTGTTTATTACAGATTATACATGTTTTTGATTATAAAAATAACAGATCTACAGACAGATGATAGCACATTGTGGTTTCCTACTGACCTTTGAAAAGGACAGCTTTTGTGAGCTTCTGTCTCACTCTGTCACACTGAAAGCTAAGAGTTGCTAATCTTTCAATGTGGTGCATCGTCAGCTTAAAGAACAGGGAGACAACTGATGTCAGCAGTGTATGGGAGAGAGACTCAATTCCATACTGTGTCTCACTGATGTGCTCCCCAAGCAAAAAGGCATCTTCTGACCCGATCCTCTTGTGCACAATGTAGATGACCTCCAGTGGTTTGGGCTATGATCGTCTGCCCACTGATGCCTGGCGAATTGCCCACTCTGCTGCTCTGATGACCCTCACAGTACCTTCAGATGGGACCACAAGACCCCCGTTGTTCTTCAGAGTCAGCAAATGGTAGCTCTGGTCATCACAGGCAGATGCAGCATCCATCACCAGGCTGGCATGGCAGACATCACAGGACAGCTTGGTCATGGCTCGCCGCACAATAAATCATAAAATTACAATTACCAATGTAACTGGACAGTGTGGTTGCCTTTATACTTTACATAGGCCTATAGAACAACATGATGTCAGGTGAGAAATCAGACAAGAACTATAGTTTGACTACCTAAAGGCAAACAAGTAATTATGATTAGTAAGTGTGGAATTTATTTATTGTATTTAGTTATCAGGGGGATTTGTAGGGGATTTATTTAGTCTGGCCACGCTCCATTGATGGCTCTCGGTTGTGGGGCGGGTTCTACCGTTGTCTTTCAAATGATCTCCACATTCCACTGGACAAAGAATGTGACATACTCTTGTTTCACTCTGTTGCATCATCCCACCCACCAGGCATATAATAATAATAATAATGCATTGAACTTATATAGCGCTTTTCTAGACACCCAAAGATGCTTTCACACACTCTTACATTCACACACTGCTAGTGATGGTAAGCTACTTGTAGCCACAGCTGCCCTGGGGAGGTCTGACAGAGGTGAGGCTGCCATTTGGCGCCGTCGACCCCTCTGACCACCACTAACACAGGCAAGTTGGGTGAGGTGTCTTGCCCAAGGACACAACAGCAGGATACCCCTGGCGGGTGCTGGAATCGAACCCATGACCCTCCGATCATGAGGCAATCCGCTCTACCACCTGAGCTACTGCTGCCCCAAATATAGAGTGCCCTGATTGGCCCACAAAGCCGATAAAGCTCTGTGATTTGTTCACTAAGCAGATAGAGCACTATGATTGGCCCACCATTATGGACCAATCACAGCTCTGTATGTGTTTGAAAACCCTCTAGAGAGCTGTGATTGGCTAGCCAGAGTCCTGGTAGGAGCTGCGGAGGTTCCAATGGAGCATGCCTAGACCAAACTTTGCAAAGCAAGAATTTGGTCTAGTTCACTAGGCTAGGGGATTTGATAAGGCAGCAGTTTTTCCCTTTCTTGGTACAGAGTTTTCTCTGAGAGGGCACCATCTAGAGGTGAACAAAGCACATTGCACCTTTATTCCCCCTTTCCACGTTCCACCAGACCTGTACAGTCTATGCACCAGACGCAAAAGCGTTGCCAAACGTACTTTAAGGCACTTAGCGCCGTTACAGTGGACGGGTTCCTTTCCACCAGCTGTAGAGTGTCACCAATTTGGACGTGTCCCAGAAGCGTAAGGACATGCTGCTTACGTTTCAAGTCTAGTTTTTGGACTCTATGCTTCTAGAACACGTCAAACTCCACAATTCAGATCGGGACAGACAGGAAGTCTTAAATGAAAGCAGCGTAGAAAAAAGTCATGTGCTTCAACTTTCAAACAAACAATAAAGCAATTATTTGAAATAAATTTTACTTCATTGCTGCTTGAAACTTGAAGCCTGAGGAGACATTTCAGCTGTTAGAATAAACTTGACCAACCCTTATATGTCCTAAGTGCATTTTGTTTTGCGCAGACAGGTGTATTGTTGTGGATAATTTTGGCTATGATATGGCAATGTATCTTTTTTGGGGGGAAATATCAATAATAACTAAAAAATTCCACAACATTTAATGTAACACTGAAATCAATTTGTAGCGTTACTGCCCTTAGTGCATTTTTTGTGCTATTGACTCCCATGTAAATCTTTTTTTTTCTAGTAAGCCTAAATATTAGCATGTAAATATATATTTTATTATTCTGTCTGAGTTCTCAGGGCAGTTGCAGACTCAATTTAGAGCTTTTTATGTTTTCCACTAGATTGCGCATTTTCTTATGTATACCAGGGAAATAACTAATACTGCATTCAAATAAAAATATTGAAAATATTTTTATGACCATTTATGACACTCCAATGTGTTAAAAATTCACCCACAAATCATCTGAACACATCATTTTTAAAAAATATATTTTTCATTTGGTTACATGGTTATGATCATGCACCTGACAATAAAGGGGAAAATAAATGGGTTAAATCTCAGGAACGCACAAATATTTTATTATATTTTGTGAGGACTGAAGCCAAGGACAAAATTCATGTAAAAATTGGGAGTTATGAAATATTATGAGGAGGTGTTGTGGCAGCATTTTTTTTTGTGCACCAAAAAATCGTGACTTTTTTTTTTAGAAAATATGAAATTACACCAAAACTATAAAGTGAGCAAAAAATATATTTATGTCTATTTGTGACACTCCAAGGCATTGACAGTTTAACCCCCCCCCCCCCCAAAAAAAAGTCATCTGAACATAAAAAACAAAACAATAGATTTTAATTTTTTTCTTCATATTTTCACAATTCTTGTATTGATCATAAACCTGGCAATAAAGGGGTTAAATCTCAGAAACACATTTCTTATTATATTTTCTTAGGGCTGACGAGATGGATAAAATTCGTGTAAAAAATTGGGACAAATGAAATATTGTATAATATTTCTATAGGAAGTTTTGTATGTGCATTTTTTGTGCTCAAACAAACGTTAGAAAATTAAAAGAGAATAAACTGTTATGTTGTAAAATGAGTGGAGATGTTTCCTTGGGATTTGACAACGATTTGAAGGTCTGCCATGTGTCCTGGAGCACCACTGTCTGCCCACACTTCCTGTCAACACTATTTCTCACCTGAAGAAGGCGCCATAGATTAACTGAGACAAATATTCCCGTTTTCATCTTGTCCTGTATTTTTTTTTCTTTTTGCCTGCAGAAGCGCATATTTCATTGCGCATGGAAGACTCAGTCACGCACATGTAAAAAATGAAGCCTGTGATTTTGCTGTTTTTCATCATTTGGTCTGGATGTGTGGAGCTGAAACCCCGGAGAGGTAAGAGGAGACGGTTGATGCTTGTTTCATCCGGATTTAAACACGCAGAGGAGAATAGCGGAGAAAGCGCGTCTGACTCGGAATCTGCCGCAACTTTGGCGCATGTCTCAAGATCAAAATCCCCAGTTTGGCTATTTTTATTGTGTAGTTTTATTTTCCAACATGCAGTCAGAGCAACATCGTGAAACTTTGCTGTTTTTAACTCTTGACAGCTAAAAGGGAAACGCGGATTTTGTGCAGCTTTTCCCGCTGGTTATGCGGAAACTGTCTAGTAGTAAATTTCTTTATTTTGCTCCTCAGGAGGTGGGGTGGTTTGTACTTTTAAAGACAAAACCTATAGCCCAGGAGACAGCTGGCACCCCTATCTGGAGCCGTTTGGATTCATGTTCTGCATGCGCTGCGTGTGCGCAGAGGTACCCGAAAGCATTTCCCGACAGTCCAGCCCTTAAATTATAAAAGCTCCGATGTTTTCCTCTGTTAGACAGGTCATGTAAGATGCATCACCATCAAGTGTCCGGCACTGTCGTGTGAAAACCCAGTGACCGATCCTCAGCGATGCTGTCCAAGATGCGCAGGTAAACGGTTTGATCCCGAACACCTCTGCGCCCCAGGAGACGCGTGTCACGGCCTCTCTCCTGTCTGTCCTCCTCAGATGAGTCCCGGATCCCCGCAGGGCTGAGGGCCTCCGTCAAGTCATGCAGGCATAACGGGAGTATTTATCAGCCCGGGCAGACTTTCACCAAGCACGACCTCTTCCCCTCCAAGCACAGCGACCAGTGCGCCATGTGCACATGTTCTGTAAGCTTTACGTCTTTCGTTTATGAGTCTTTTTCATTGTAAAATAGTCAAAGTTGGAATTAAATAAAGAAGAAAACAGCAGGGGAAGATTTTCCAGAATTTTTTTAGCGATTACATTTTTTTTCAAAAATAAAAACTGAAACTAATAATAAGCAAATGATTAAAATAATTTGGGGGAACAAATGTCAAATAATTATTAAATAATTATGGAAGTATTACAGGGGATTAAAGTGTTTGAATGTTTGACATGCTTAGGTGTTTGTAATCAGTGCTAACCTGCCAGTTATGGGTTAATAATAAGGTTAGTCTCTTAAATATTTAAAGGAGGCTAAGCTCTTTGCTGCTTTATTTGTAAATCTGCAGCTTACACATATACATGTGTATCCATCCATCCATTTTCATCCATTTTCATCCGCTTATCCGGAGTCGGGTCATGGGGGCAGTAGCCTAAGGCGAGAGGCCCAGACTTCCCTGTCCCCAGCCACTTGGGCCAGCTCCTCCGGTGGAATCCCAAGGCGTTCCCTGGCCAGGTGAGAGACATAGTCCCTCCACCGTGTCCTGGGTCTACCTTTAAGTCTCCTCCCTGTTGGACGTGCCCGGAAAACCTCACCATCCTGACCAGATGCCCGAGCCACCTCAACTGGCTCCTCTCGATGTGGAGGAGCAGCGGGTCTACTCCGAGCCCCTCCAGAATGACCGAGCTTCTCACCCTATGTCTAACGGAGAGCCCAGCCACTCTTCTGAGAAAACTTATTTTGGCCGCTTGCAGGGCTGTTGCTAGCTATTTTGGTGCCCTAAGCACAAAGGCTTCGTGCCCCCCCCCCCCCAGCAGAAAAAAAACCCACAATAACACAGTATGTGCAAGCGCTTCGCCTTAAATTCTCTTTAATTCTCTTGTATGCACAAACTGCTTATTATTTCCAAAAAGTAGGATTGACATTTACATAACATAACATACTCAACACAGGAACTCCATATTGTTATTATTTAGAACTATGTAACGGATCCACACAACACAAGCACGGGTTGTGGCACATGTGTTTCTCCAATGTAATTTTCAGATGCTTTTTCAGACCCAGGACTCACTCTGCCTTCAGAAGTGCTGGCTGTGGGCTGTGCTCGGTCTGTAGGTGTGCTTTACTTTGTAATTCCTGGTCAGGGCTGGGTGATGTTGTAGAAGGTTCAGACGTGACGGCTGACAACTGATCTTGAGCTCTTGAACTGCTGGTGGAGGGCTGATCTGAACTTTTGGCTTGAGCTCCTCCTTGAATGTACTTTTTTTTGAGCCTGCAGACACAAAAAGATTATTTGTCATATTCATTCTATAATAAGATAAAAGTTTTAAACCATGGTAAAAAATACTGCAGTAGATTATTAATAGGTTTATATTGGCTTATAAATCACTGGCATGTGACATGACTAAATTCCAAACTATTTAACCTTTATTAAGAACTAGAGAGGCACAATATACACATTTTATACACAACTAGAAAATTCTGAATATGAAGGGAGGAGGTTAGCATAATGGACTTTTTTCTTCAAATTATACCATCAGCAGCTGATGTTCCTCTTGGCCCGTAAATGTTTGTGAAATATAAATATCAACATAGAGCAAATACCTAATTTGAAAATAGTTTTGTCTAATTTTTCATATTAAATCTCAGTTACATAGCCTATAGGCCACATAGGCTATTTAATAATGATATAAATCATGTCCATAGTTAACTCATGATTAATCACAAACAGCTGCTTATTTGAAAATAAAATGTCTTACTTTACCTTGAAGGTGTTTTTGTCCTTCCTGTTTTTGTGATATTTAAGTATTTGGGTGGACAAATATGATTCATTTGTTTATTTCTGTTTCAAAACAGCACAGATGGGCCTATCTGACCTCACAGAGGAAACTTTATTTTACTTGAGAAAGATGTTTTAAGATGAACTTATTAAAACAAAAACAAAAAATCTTCAAACTCTTCAAGGTCTATTTTTAGATGAACAACCTTTAACACTGTTCAGACTTATTTTTTGATACAAGTCGCATGAACAGGCTGAATAAAAGGATATTTCCCTTTGTTGCATTTAACTATTTCTTCTTCTTTAAAGAAGTGCTGATTCAGAAGAGAATAACTGCATTTAGGAAGATGATGACTTGCTACGTTTTTTTTTCTCCAGCAGTAAAAAAGCTCTAAAGCTTCTCTGAGTTTCTCTCCCTCTCAGCCTCTCTCACTCAGCTACTGATGAACGCCCGGTAGGCGGACGGGAGGCTGCGGGACAGAGTGGCGCATTATACTTTTAACAGACTGGAGAAGCAGAGAACGAAATCTGCCCAAACCACGCAGATAGAGTCAAAATGTTAAATGTTTGGAAGCAGAGTGCGAAAAACACCAAATAAAAGTCCTGAAAAGCAGCATGCTTACCAAACTTGGCAAAATTTGACCAAAAACAGATGAATTAACAGCAGTAACAAGTCCGAATTTAAGCTAGGTCAAAAAAACCTTTGAACTTTACCACACTTGTTTAGAATTTGAAATAGATAAAAAATTTAAAAATTTCCATTAAAATACTTGTCTTACCTGCAATCGAAGCAACAGCATCATCCCATTGTTTTTTCTTTTGTCTCTTTACTGCCCCGGACTCCTTCAGCCTTTTCAGAGCCATGACTGTGCCCGCTGCATCCTCTGCAGGTGTACTGGGGGGGGGGGGGGGGGGGGGTGGGGGGGTCCATCTCCTTTCCCTTTTGTATTGTTTTCTCTCTGTAAACATGCCGTTAACTTGCTTTGCACATCTTCTAATTGAAATCTGTCTTTATCATTAATATGTATTATTTTCATAAAGGTTATGAACAGAAACGGTGACAAAGGGCAGCCTTGGTGGAGTCCAACTCTCACTGGGAACAAGCCCGACTTACTGCCGGCAATGCGGACCAAGCTCTGACACCGGTCATACAGGGACCTAACAGCCCGTATCAGAGGCCCTGGTACCCCGTACTCCCAGAGTACCCCCCCCCCCCCCCCCCACTGAGCCCTTCGAGGGATGCGGTCAAACACCTTCTCCAAAACCACAAAACACATGTTGACTGGTTGGGCAAATTCCCACGCACCCTCCAGGACCCCCCTAAGGGTATAGAGCTGATCCAGTGTTCCAAGGCCAGAACGAAAACCACATTGCTCCTCCTGAATCTGAGGTTCAACAATCCGACGGACCCTCCTCTCTTGAACCCCTGAATAGACCTTACCAGGAAGGCTCAGGAGTGTGTGTGACCCCCTGTAGTTGGAACACACCCTGGAGTCCCCCTTTTTAAAAAGGGGGACCACCTCTCTGGTCTGCCAGTCCAGTAGGACTGCCCCCAATGTCCATGCGATATTGCAGAGCCGTGTCAGCCAACACAGCCCCACAACATCCAGAGCCTTAAGGAACTCCGGGCAGATCTCATCCACCCCTGGAGCCTTGCCACAGAGGAACTTTTTAACCACCTCAGTGACCTCAGCACCAGAGATTTGAGAGGCCAACCCAAAGTCCCCAGACTCTGCTTCCTCACTGGAAGACGTGTCGGTGGGATTGAGGAGGTCTTCGAAGCATTCTGCCCACCGATCTACAACGTCCTGAGTAGAGGTCAACAGCACACCATCCCCACTATAGATAGTGTTGGTAGCGCACTGCTTTCCCCCCTGAGGCACTGGATGGTGGACCAGAATCTCCTCAAAGCCGTATGGAAGTCTTTCTCCATGGTCTCACCAAACTCCTCCCATGCCCGGGTTTTTGCCTTGGCGACCACCCGAGCCACGTTCCGCTTGGACATCCGGTGCCCATCAGCTGCCTCTGGAGTCCCACAGGCCAAAAATACCTGATAGGACTCTTTCTTCAGCTTGACAGCATCTCTAACCACCGGTGTCCACCAGCGGGTTCGGGGGTTGCCACAACGACAGGCACCGGCGATCCTGCAACCACAGCTCTGGTCAGACACCTCAACAATGGAGGCACGGAACAGGGTCCATTCAGGCTCCCCCGGAACATTTTGGAAGTTCTGTCAGAGGTGGGAATTGAAGCTCCTTCTGACAGGAGACTCTGCCAGACGTTCCCAGCAAAACCTCACGATACGTTTGGGCCTGCCTGGTCTGACTGGCATCCTCCCCCACCATCTGAGCCGACTCACCACCAGGTAGTGGTCAGTTGACAGCTCTGCCCCTCTCTTCACCCGAGTGTCCAAGACATGCAGCCACAGGTCAGATGAAACAACAAAGTCGATCATCGAGCTGCGGCCTAAGGTGTCCTGGTGCCAAGAGCACATATGGACACCTTTATGTCTGAACATGGTGTTCATTATGGACAATCCATGACTGCAACAGAAGTCCAATAACAAAACACCACTTGAATTCAGATCAGGGGGGCCGTTCCTCCCAACCACACCTCTCCAGGTCTCACTGTTGTTGCCTACGTGAGCGTTAAAGTCCCCCAGCAGAACGAGGGGGTCACCGGAAGGAGCGCTTTACAACACCCCCTCCAAGGTCTCCAAAAAGGGTGGGTGGTCTGAACTGTAGTTTGGTGCATAAGCACAGACCACAGTTAGAACCCGTCCCCCCACACATAGGCGGAGGGAGGCTACCCTCTCATTCACTGGGGTAAACCCCAACATACAGGCACCAAGATGGGGGGGCAACTAGTATGCCCACCCCTGCTTGGCGCCTCTCAGTGGGAGCAACTCCAGAGTGGTAGAACCCCTCTCAAGGAAACTGGTTCCAGATCCAGAGCCATGGGTTGAGGTGAGTCCGACTACATCTAGTCGGAACCTCTCAACCTCACACACCAACTCAGGCTCCTTCCCCACCAGAGAGGTGACATTCCATGTGCCAAGAGCCAGCTTCTGTAGCCGAGGACCAGACCGCCAAGGTCCCGCCCTCGACTCCCACCCGTCACCCACTGCACCCGACCCCTTTGGCCCCTCCCACGAGTGGTGAGCCCATGGGAAGGGGGACCCACGTTTCCTCTTCGGGCTTTGCCCGGCTGGGCTCCATGGGTGAAAGCCCGGCCACCAGGCGCTCGCCAACGTGCCCCACCTCCAGACCTGGCTCCAGAGGGGGGCCCCGGTGACCCACGTCCGGGCGAGGGAACGCGGTTTCCATTTATATAATTCATCATAAGAGGTCTTCGTGCAACTCTTTGTCTGATCCCTCACCTAGGACCTGTTTGCCATGGGTGACCCTACCAGAGGCAGAAAGCCTCAGACAACTTAGCTCCTAGGATAATTGAGACACTCAAACCCCTCCACCACGGTAAGGTGGCAGCCCAGGGAGATGTATATGCATGTGTAGTGCTGCTAAAATCTTGTTTTTAAGAGTGATGAAAACATCTACCTCACCTAAATGGAGTGGACAACGACTAATTACAGAAGAATAAATAACAAAGATAATGCATCTACTTTTTATGTTTTAGACCCATTTATGAGTTTAGAAATCTACTTGTTGTATTTTACAGTCTTTGAAGCACTTCACATCAAAATAAAACCAAATCACGCTCTTGCTTTTACTTTTAGGGTGGAAACATCTTCTGTGCTCTGAAAACATGCCAACCCATCACCTGTTCCTCACCCGTTCCAGTCCCAGGCACCTGCTGTTTGGTGTGTAAAGGTAGTCGGACTCCTCCAGTAGAGTATGCCACAAACATGTTGAATGTTCACCAAGTAACGAAATACAAAATTGGACTTCATTTTATGGGGGGAAAACAATGGAGACATAGAATGGTACAAAAATACATGAAAACAAAAATACTAAACTGAAGTTGCATTAAATTAAAATATGTTAAATCCAACTAGACATTGTGAGTGAATGTCACTGTCCTGGTTTCTCCCAGATCAGGGCACCAGCGGGTCCTCGTCAGCAGAGGACGGAAACCAACAGCTGAACAGAGGAGTCGTATGTTCTTTCTGATCTATGGAAACTTAAATGTTGTAAAAACTTAGAAGTCTTGTTTTCAGTTGCTTCTTAACTGGGCTCAAATCTCACTGAAGAGGCCAGGCTGAGTGAATAAATAGTTTACCATCAGGATTCTTTAGGTTATCTCACTTTTTTATGTTTCTGTGATCTTTTATGGTTTGTGTGAAAAAGGCAGCTAATAACAGGAGTGGATGAGTGAGTGTCTTTATTAAATGTGTGTTTGCGCCAGAGGCACTCGATGGACCGGTGTTCTGCAGAGCAGAGCCAGCTACGGTCGGACCGCACCACTCCACACCGAACCAAGACCTCCTCCAGGAGCCTGAGCCTCAGCAGACTCAACCTCCAAGGGGCTTCAGAGACCACTGTGAAGTTTCTGTTGCAGAGAAACACCAAAGAGGTGAGACTTGCACAGCACAGAGATCTTTCACAGGTATTTAATTTTATGGGGCACGTTCCTCGCACGTCTATGATTGTTTCCGTATGGAGAGCAACGCTCAGATGTTTCTCATTTCTCCCAGTGTGTTTATACAATGGCAAGACATATTCTCATGGAGACACATGGCATCCAGTGTTGGGAAGGTTCTGGAATGCATCCTCTGCACTTGTACTGATGGCCTCCAGGACTGCAGACGCATCACATGTCCCGACCAGTACCATGCAAACATCCCATCAAATTACCAGGAAAATGCTGCAAGATGTGTCCAGGTAGCCAAGTGTGACCTGCACAGGACAGGAGCTGTTTGTACTGATGTGATACTGATGGGATGAAAACATTATATCTCACTCCATCTGTTTCTGTTTCCAGAGAGTAAAGCAGACACTAATCAGACCCAGTGCTATTCTGGGTATAAAAATGACCTCCTGGTGTATAAAGTGGAGTCATCTCTGAAAGCCGACTCATCAAACACAATTCGGATCATTGCTGTTGAAAGGCAAAGTACGTCTGAGGTTGAAGTGCAAGTATGGAACATTGTAGAAGGTAAGGAGACCAATTCTCAGTGATATCCTATAAAAAAAAACATCTGCACAGTTGAAACCAGATGTTCATATATAACAGATAAACACACACAGCCATTTCTCCTTTCTGTCTGACATTAAATAAGACTAAACCTGTCAGGTTTTTGGTCAGTTAGGGTTATTTGATAGATGTCTGACTGAGGGGGGGAGAGAAGAAATATCATTTCTATAGCGCCTCTCAGGATAAAAATCACGAGGCGCTTCACAAAAACAAAAAATATAAAAAAGAATTTAGAAAATGTTAAAAATATATTTAAAATGAGCAAAAATAGACAAATTGTGATTAAAAAATGTTAAGAAAGAGAGAGAGTGAACAAGAAAGAGGGAAATCAGTGGATCCTGAGGAAGGTGGAATAGGTGGGGAGAGCAGAACAAGGAGAGAGTGGTGAAGAAGGTCATACAAAAGCCAGCTTGAACAAGTGAGTCTTCAGCTGCTTTTAAAGGAGACCACTGAGTCCACTGATCTCAGGCTCAGGGGGAGAGAGTTCCAGAGTCTGGGGGCCACAGCAGCAAATGATCTGTCACCTTTGGTCTTTAGCCTAGTGCTGCACAACCAGTAGGCTTTGGTCACTGGACCTCAGGGACCTGCTGGGGGTGTAGGGACTAAGAAGATCACCAATGTAAGATGGTGCTTGTCCATGTAAGGCCCTATAGACCAGAACCAGGATCTTGAAATGAACCCTGAAATTGACTGGCAGCCAGTGAAGCTGGAGGAGAAGCGGGGTGATGTGGGTGTGTTTGGAGGACTTGGTCAGAAGCTGAGCACAGGCATTCTGAACCACCTGTAGACGGTTCGGGAGGTTCTGCTCAGACACGTGAAAAGAGAGTTACAGTAGTCTAAGCGTGAGGAGATGAAGGTGTGGAGAACTGTCTCAAGTTCAGAGCGGGACAGAATGGAACTCAGCTTAGCAATGTTCCTGAGATGGAAGAAGGAAGAGCGAACAAGAGAACTGACATGAGAATCCAGGATGAGAGCTGGGTCAAAGGTCACACCAAGATTCCTGACAGAAGATTTTGGTGGGAAGCAAGCTGACCAAGAGAGTCTCTGACTTTGGGAACCAGCTTGTCTGGGGCACAGATGAGGATCTCAGTCTTATCTTCATTCAGCTGAAGAAAGCTCCCAGCCATCAGGCTTTGGTAGAGTCTAAGCAGGTGTGTAACAGCTGCAGCTTAGACATCTCATGGGCTTAAAGGAGATGTACAGTTGGATGTCATCTGCATAAAGATGGTAGGAGATTCCTTTGAAGGAGCTCAGGATGTGCTGAAGAGGAAGCAGATAGAGGAGGAATATCAGAGGCCCCAGCACAGAACCTTGTGGGACACCATGGGTAAGAGAGGTGGTGGAGGACCTAAACTTGGAGATGGCCACAGAAAAGGACGCGTCAGAGAGATAAGAGGAGAACCACTCCAGAGCAGATCTGATAGGCCTACCCAGTCTTTGAGCCTCTCCAGTAGCAGGTGATGGTCAACAGTGTCAAAGTCTGCAGTCAGGTCCAGCAGGACCAGAACAGAACAGTCCCCTGCATCACTGTGAGTCAGAAGGTCATTAGAGACCCTAAGAAGAGCTGTTTCAGTAGAATGAGCTCTACAAAAACCTGACTGGAAGCAATCATAGATGTTATGTTCATCAGAGCAGCTGAGAGTTGTTTAGCCACAACCTTTTCCAAGATCTTGGAGATGAACGGAAGTTTAGAGATGGGTCTGAAGCTGCAATGGAGAGAGGGTAGAGACTCGGTTTTTAAGAAGCGGGTGGATTACATCATTCTTAAAGTAAGCAGTAAACCTGGGAGTAGGGTTCACTGCAGGAACTGATCTGGTTCTGACAGGACAGATGTTGTCCAGAATAGAGAGGCAGTGCTTTTTAATTTGATAAGTTAAGGAATCTGTGTCGTTATCAGAAGAACAGGGTGGATCAAAAGCAGCAGAAAAATTGCTAGCTGTGCTCTCATTAAGAAAACGAGAACTAACCATACGGCGAGCAGGAGGTG